AACGAGTGGGAGGAGGTGACTTCGTTGGGCGGCGGCGGCCAGGCGCTGATCGTGGGAATCTAACACTCACCGTATCTATTTACACTCAAAAGAAAAAAAAATCACAACCATCAACTAGATATTAATGGTTGTGATTACGTAACGGTCCCCGCACTATTTTATTCGGTTTATTGGTTAAGCGACGACTATTCTTAATGGCCTATTTGTTTTTTGTACTTTGCTTGTTTGGTTCAAAACAAGAAAATAGCTCATAACTTTATAGAAAATGACAAGATTTGATAGGTTTTTAATTAAATATGGTATGTGTCAGATTTCTGGTGATTTCCTCTCATTTTGAGAGGAAATTATTTTTTGTAAAATTTGGTAGGTTTTGGTATTTTATAGAAAATATTTCTGTAAATTTTTTGTTGAACAAAACACAATTTACAGAACTCTCTGGAAAACTTTTAATTACAAATTTACCATTATCAGATGTTTTGAGAAAAGTTTTCTCAAAAAGTGTGCAACCAAACAGCCCCTAAAACTAAATCATCTTGAAGAAATTATAATCAAATCTGATGTAAAAATATGACCATTTTAGAGGATTAAAATTGCAAACAATTCCCTTGTGTGTTCTCTGGCCTATTTCTAGCTCGCAATCCAATAAGGCTCGATAGCACTTAAAGTACCGTATAGTTCCCTCTACTTTGCACTTGTATATCCTCAATTGTTTTTAGCGGCACTTTATACCTTAAAGTGTTTAAAATTTACACTTTAATACCCTCAATTATGTGGGAATGAGAATTTCCCCAAATTTTTCATACGGCCATCACATGCCAATTTTAGAACACATTTTAGCTCTTAGTAATCGTTAAATTCACCATTAAACCTATCGAAATTCCATTTAACGGTAGAATTAGAGTAGGTTTAAAATGAATTAACGCTAGCAAAAATTAAGGCTTAAAAGCTTCTATAATTAGTATGTGGGTTCGAATAAGAAATTCCAGGGAGAATTTCTAGGAGGGTATTTAAGTGCAAATTGTAAAACGTTTTACGGCATATAAGTGCTACCTGGAGCAAAAGTAAAGCTACATAAGTGCAGCTGAAGAAACTGTTGGGAATTTAAGTGCAATTAAGCCTAGAAAAAGATCATCGGATTAGACCAGCCCAACATGGCCCATTAGAGCTACAGAGCCCAAAAATCTAGCCTGCACCCTACGAAAAATTGACCTTGGAGTTTAATTTACTCTGCTAAAACTAAAATTAAAAAAGGGTTTAGTGAAAAACAACCCCCAACTCAATTTTGACCCGGGGTTTAAAGAGGCGGTTTGAGTCTAGAAACGGGGGGAGGGGGGCAAATAGAAAATCAAAATTCTGGATTAAAAATATGAACACCGGTGAGATAAACCCTAATCCCTATCAATGTCCTTTTTCTTAAATTAAAAGTTCAAATTTCTTTAACTCCTATAACTTGATTATACGTGAAGTAATTGAGAATCCTTAATTGATTAGAATTACCCAATTCCTAATTTAATAGGAATCGTGATTGTATTGCTAGTTGGGTCTAAATAGTTTTCAAACCCCAACGGGGTTTCTCAAGCTCGAGCATACATTTATTCGAGTTAAATAAAAAAAAAAATCATAAAATTATGCATCTAATTAAAAATAATAATGGCACCAGCCCAACATGCATCTATTCGGCCCATGGGTTGATGGAAATCCAAAAAACTGTGATATTTTTCTTTTTAATTTCCCACCTGGGCCCCACATCCACGGAGTACGGAACAAAAAACAAAAAAACAAAGCATCAATCAAAGATCCAATCTTTAGGGTTTTCCCGACTCCCCTCCCCCCGCCCCCATCATCTCTTCGCAGCCTCTGATCTGCTGATCTTCTTCTTCTTCTACCTCTGTTGAATTTTATTTTATTTTTTTTAAAAAAAATTATTTAACCATCACCGTTATCTCGGGATGATGATCTGGTAGGGTAAGCGTCTCGTTGATTTCGTTCTCCTTTTCATCCTCCGTTTCCCCCTCGGCTGTCTGACCTGGGATCTCTGCCAATCGATCGAGCTGAAGTGGATTGCTAGATCTAAAGTTCCCAACAAGAATTCGTTCGAGGAATTCGCAGGAGATCTCTGCCCCCCCTCTCCGCGAATTCGATGCGGATCTAAGAGAGGTAACCTCCACGGCCCCTACCCCCATCATGAAGCTCGATTTGATCGATCTTATTAGATGGTAATTGATTCGAAATTATTTATTAGATGGTTAAGCTTGGCCAATTTCTCATGTATTTTTCGACAAGTTGAGAGGTAAGTGGGGTTTGTGACCGCCACGGGTAATCTCCAGTTTGTTGAGGGCTTGCCAGGGTTTGATAGGTTAAGGGTGATTTGTTTTGAGGAGGGAAGCGAGTGCGGGGTTCTTGGTGGCTGGGGGGTTCTGTGATGAGGGAAACGCTACTGGGGTGGGGGGGTGATAACTCAAAAACTGAAAAAACAATTTGAAAAGCGAAAAAGATGAGAAAAAAAAATAATTTCTATCCCCTCTTTTCTTCTATGTCCATTAACTTTCTATATATTTTTTATATCAAGTAAAATAGGCTAAAAAGCTGACATGACACCCTTCACTTTCCATTTATTTTCGGACCACTTTTGAAGTGCCAAATGGAAAAAAATAAAAACAGAAAGTGAAGTCACTTTCCAATATGCGATCCGTCTTCCATTTACTTTTTGGTTGCCAAACAAGACCTATGTAGATGGGTAGCGTGGGCCGAGCCGGTCTAGGCTTATGACTGGGCGGTCTGGGCTCACAGGATTCAGGGTCAGGTCCGGGTTAGAATGAGTTGAGCCTGCTTCTATGATTCCAGGTCTGGGATTGGACCCAATCCGGCCCACGACTCGCCTAAGAGTGGGCCGGGTCGGGTCGGACCTGGTCACGATCCATGGGTCGTGGGTCGACCAATGTTTATTTTGATATTTTCTTTATTTCCCATTTCTAAACTATATTAACTTTGTATTCATATTTATAAAATTATATCTAATTTATTTATTTCATATTTCAAAGTCTTTATTGAAAATGAGATAGACATGTTGTACTAAGATAAACATCACATCCTAAATCGATGTGAGAGGTGGGAGGGATGACTGAAATGAAGGGCGAACATGCTGAAATGAAAACTGGGGACTTGGAGGTACCTTTGGAAATAAGCGAAGATTTGAGGGGTAAATATAGAAGTAGCCCTTGTTTTAGAAAGACATGGTAGATTCAGGGGTGTAGATTGAAAAGGATGTGGTTTCATTTGAAATAAACTTAAAAGTTTGGATGATTTATATATGATTAACAAAGATTGGATTAGGGGTCTAGCGTGAGAAATAAAAGCCAAACACCCAAGAGCTCAGAGAATCACATTTAGCTTTTTAGAAGGGTTAAGAACTCCATCGAAAATACAATCGGAGATCAAAAAAGAAGGAAACGATGGGTAAAGACAAAATCCAAAAGCAAAAAAAGGTGCCAAAGAGCAGTAAGTTTATTCTCCTCAACCTATGAAAAAAGTCTTTGATCATTCTCAGTTAATCACTCACCTCATTCTTGTAGATCCGATCTAGTTTTTTTTGCAAGTTTTGTGAGGAGCTTTTCAACTCCCTCGGGGAGATCTTGCTCCATGCAGGAGCACATTGGGCCCTTAAGAAGCCTGAACCATGACTAATATCAGGTATGATTTGGATTCAGATTGATGCACGCCAAGTGTTTGATGAAATGAGTGGAAAAAGGAAATGGGGAAAAATGGAAATAGACCGCGTTAAGCAAACATTTGATGACCTAACTCATCTTTTAATCACTTTACTTAGCCAAGTCCTAATTGACACTGTCAAGCTTCACATTAGGACCGACTCATCTTTCAAGCACTAAAGATACATGTACTTACACATGAATATACACACAAATATTATTCTACATAAGAGTAAATATTGGAAGATGGTTCGTTCTTAAATATTAATTATTAATGCGTTTTCTCCACTTAAGTTTGTTAATTAGTTGACCACAAGGGTAAGCTGCCATAGGCCTAAGTGTAACTATATTTATTCACGTGCGTTCACATTGCACGCATATGCATATAAAAAGGTATACATTTGAACAAAAGGCAGAAGCACGTAGTGATATATATTTTTAATAAAATACCAACAAAAATGAAGCATCCATATATAGATATATATATATATATATATATATATATATATAAGTTATGATCTTAAGTTTTTATCATCAATAGATCCGTCTGACATTTGTCCTCCAATCCAAACCCTTCCACATTTTATTATATTTCTTTTTTCTAATTCACTTCTTCAATCCAAAAACCATGAGTTAAAGGGTCATTTTGGTATCTAGTTCAAGAACGAACCATCTTCCAATATTTACTCTTATGTAGAATAATATTTGTGTGTATATTCCATGTGTAAGTATATGTATCTTCAGTGCTTGAAAGATGAGTCAATCCTGATGTGAAGCTTGGCAGCGTCAATTAGGACTTGGCTAAGTGGTTAAAAGATGAGTTAGGTCATCAAATGTTTGTTTAACGCAGTCTATTTCCATTTTTTCCCCCATTTCCTATTTCCACCCATTTCATCAAACACTTGGCGTGCATCAATCTCAATCCAAATCATACCTGATATTAGTCATGGTTCAGGCTTCTTAAGGGCCCAATGTGCTCCCGCATGGAGCAAGATCTCCCCGAGGGAGTTGAAAAGCTCCCCACAAAACTTGTAAAAAAAAACTGGATCGGATCTACAAGAATGAGGTGAGTGATTAACTGAGAATGATCAAAGATTTTTTTCATAGGTTGAGGAGAATAAACTTACTGTTCTTTGGCACCTTCTTTTGCTTTTGGATTTTGTCTTTACCCATCGTTTCCTTTTCTTTTGATCTCCGATTGTATTTTCGATGGAGTTCTCAACCCTTCTAAAAAGCTAAATGTGATTCTCTGAGCTCTTGGGTGTTTGGCTTTTATTTCTCACGCTAGACCCTCAATCCAATCTTTGTTAATCATTATATAAATCATCCAAACTTTTAAGTTTGTTTCAAATGAAACCACATCCTTTTCAATCTACACCCCTGAATCTACCATGTCTTCCTAAAACAAGGGTTGCTTCTATATTTATCCCTCAAATCTTTGCTTATTACCAAAGGCACCCTCAAGACTCCAGTTTTCATTTCAGCATGCCCGCCCTTCACTAAAAGCTGACCTGCTATACTGACTAAACCAACCTTTTGAAAAGCGAAAAAGATGAAAAAAAATTAATTTCTCTCCTCTTTTCTTCTATGTCCATTAACTTTATATATATTTTTTATATCAAGTAAAATAGGCTAAAAAGCTGACATGACACCCTTCACTTTCCATTTATTTTCCGACCACTTTTGAAGTGCCAAATGGAGAAAAATAAAAACAGAAAGTGAAGTCACTTTCCAATATGCGATCTGTGTTCCATTTACTTCTTGGTTGCCAAACAAGACCTATGTATGGGTAGCGTGGGCTGAGCCGGTCCAGGCTTATGACTGGGCAGTCTGGGCTCACAGGATTCAGGGTCAGGTCCGGGTTAGAATGAGTTGAGCCTGCTTCTATGATTTCAGGTCTGGGATTGGACCTAATCTGGCCCACGACTCGCCTAAGAGCGGGCCGGGTCGGGCCGGACCTGGTCACGATCCATGGGTCATGGGTCGATCAATGTTTTTTTTGATATTTTCTTTATTTTTCCATTTCTAAACTATATTAATTTTGTATTCATATTTATAAAATTATATCTAATTTATTTATTTCCTATTTCAAACTCTTTATTGAAAATGATATATACATGATGTACTAAGATAAACATCACATCCTAAATCGATGTGAGAGGTGGGAGGGATGACTGAAATGAAGGGCGGGCATGCTGAAATGAAAACTTGGGACTTGGGGGGTACCTTTGGAAATAAGCAAAGATTTGAGGGGTAAATATAGAAGCAGCCCTTGTTTTAGGAAGACATGGTAGATTAAGGGGTATAGATTGAAAAGGATGTGGTTTCATTTGAAACTAACTTAAAAGTTTGGATGATTTATATGTGATTAACAAAGATTGGATTGAGGGTCTAGTGTGAGAAATAAAAGCCAAACATCCAAGAGCTCAGAGAATCACATTTAGCTTTTTAGAAGGGCTAAGAACTCCATCGAAAATACAATCGGAGATCAAAAGAGAAGGAAACGATGGGTAAAGACAAAATCCAAAAGCAAAAGAAGGTGCCAAAGAGCAGTAAGTTTATTCTCCTCAATCTATGAAAAAAGTCTTTGATCATTCTCAGTTAATCACTTACCTCATTCTTGTAGATCCGATCTATTTTTTTTTTGCAAGTTTTGTGGGGAGCTTTTCAACTCCCTTAAGGAGATCTTGCTCCATGCGGGAGCACACTGAGCCCTTAAGAAGCCTGAACCGTGACTAATATGAGGTATGATTTGGATTCAGATTGATGCACGTCAAGTGTTTGATGAAATGAGTGGAAAAAGGAAATAGACCGCGTTAAACAAACATTTGATGACCTAACTCATACCTCATATTAGTCATGGTTCAGGCTTCTTAAGGGTCTAGTGTGCTCCCGCATAGAGCAAGATCTCCCTGAGGGAGTTGAAGGACTCCCCACAAAACTTGCAAAAAAACTAGATCGGATCTACAAGAATGAGGTGAGTGATTAACTGAGAATGAGCAAAGATTTTTTTCATAGGTTGAGGAGAATAAACTTACTGCTCTTTGACACCTTCTTTTGCTTTTGGATTTTGTCTTTACCCATCGTTTCCTTCTCTTTTGATCTTCGATTGTATTTTCGATGGAGTTCTCAGCCCTTCTAAAAAGCTAAATGCGATTCTCTGAGCTCTTGGGTGTTTGACTTTTATTTTTCACGCTAGACCCCCAATCCAATCTTTGTTAATCATATATAAATCCTCCAACTTTTAAGTTAGTTCCAAATCAAACCACATCCTTTTCAATCTACACCCTTGAATCTACCATGTCTTCCTAAAACAAGGGTTGCTTCGATACTTACCCCTCAAATCTTTGCTTATTACCGAAGATACCCCCAAGTCTTCAGTTTTTATTTCAGTATGCCTGCCCTTCACTGAAAACTGACCCGCTATACTGACTAAACTAAGCTTTTGTAGCTAATTAGTTATAAACACCATGTTAATTAACCGCCGCCCCCTAAAAAAAATCAATCTGGCGATATTCTCTCTTGAAAACCTGATGACCAGACCCCCGATCTGTTCCGAGCTCTCCTGCCATTCTTCTCCCCCACTTAATTCTTCTCCCGTGCCTGCATCATGTTTGAAGCATCATTGGTGCCCAAGTGTTTGTAGGAATGCCTCAACGGGATAATAGCAAGCGTGCAGCATGTTCGTTGCTGTGTTTCACATTGTACCAATCTGTTTGTCAAAATGCATCAATGAAACAGAGCGGCGTGCTTTTCAGCTGTCCATGTAGAATACTATCACCCTTACCATATTACAGCAGACCATACGAAACGTAACCATGCAACCATCTCAATTTAAAATATGTATATATATATGAAAAAAAAGGTGGGGGGTAAACACTGATACACAGTTCTTAACACATCACATGGCTAATCCATGTGATTTCAATCTAAATGCGCAGCCTCCCTCTTCAAATTGAAGATGGTAGAATCCAGAAAGGTGAAAAGCATGTAATTTCAATCTAAATACGCAGCCTCCCTCGACATAATGGATGCAGTTCCCCTTCAATCCCAGCTTGCTTGCCAAACAAGATGTTGAACAGCTATCGCTCAGAAAGATAACTCGATCGCCAATTTCCCTCACTGGCTCCCACGCTTTCTTCTCAAAGTCCATCTTGTAAACACCAATGCCAGCTTCTGTTCGGCTCCCCAGCAGCAAATTCCTCATGACGAGAAAAATATCTCCGCAGGATTCAACCATGGGACTCCACAGATGCGCATATTCCCGGCAATAGTTCGGGTCTCTCTACTCTGACAAAAGAGGTTTCAGGGCAAGGAGCAGTATGTATAAGTACAAGGTTCTTGCGGAGCGTGATCCCATAAAATTTTCCATTTAACCTGATGACATTGTTAAGAGCATCCTCCTCTCCGAGATTTTTATTGCAGTCGTGAGAAATCCAACTTTGTTCAGATCCTAGGTTGCAGAAGTGAACTCGCTGGTTGTTGAAGTCAGCGAGCATCACGACACAATCAGGGTTATTTGGGGATGAAGATAGTATGAGCTTGTGATCCCTGCGGCCCTCAGTATCTTCAAGATTCAGATAAGGTTGCAGGGCTCAGCAAGAAACAACAGGGGGAGAGTCTTGGCCGTGCGCGAGAACCCATCCTAGCGGAGATGGCCAGCAAATTCTCTACATTTTCAATTTCAGGCACATCTCTAACAGAGAATCCACTCCCATTCAAACCGACAATAGTTTGTGAGAATATGTCATCTTCCTCATGGTAGGAGACGTGGCTCAGGCCTGACATCGATTCTTTCGTCTCTTCCTTCGGACTTCCTGTGACAATCAGTGCTTTTTTTTGCAACAATCAGTGCTTTTTTGTCCATCGAATTTTTTTTCCTTCAATTTTTTACATGTTAAACATAAATTTAAGTGCAAGAGGTAGTTATTCCTCTTTGTGTTAGAGGTGTATCTGCACATAGCTCTTTGTTATATTCTAAAACTAAGTCATCTTGAAGAAATTATAATAATCTGTGATGTAAATAGATGACCATTTAAGACGATTAAAATTGTGAACCATAGATGGCCATTTGAGAGGATTAAAATTGTGAACAACTCCCTTGTGTGTTCTCCTGTTTCTAGCCCGCAATCTAATAAGGCTTAATCGCACTTAAGTACCATATAGTTCCCTCTACTTTGCACTTGTATACCCTTGACTGTTTTTAGTGGCACTTCATACCTTAAAGTTTTTAAATTTTACACTTTAATACCCTCAATTATGTGGGAATGAGAATTTCCCCAAATTTTTCATACGGCCATCACATGCCAATTTTAGAACACATTTTAGCTCTTAATAATCGTTAAATTCACCATTAAACCTATCGAAGTTCCATTTAACGTTAGAATTAGAGTAATGTTTAGTTGATTAGTTTGATGCACTGAAATGTACTTTATTTCTGATTATTAACACTACGCTATTACTTACAGGAATGTATCATGTTTTATATATACCTTCAGGAAGAATTTTGGGGACTTCTATGATATTTTTTGTAATGTACTTGTTCTATACATATGTTGAAACTTTATTTGTGTGTGACATCTGTGATGCTCAGTTTCCTGCATTTCGAGTCATCACGAGCTATATCATCTTGCATTGGATCTGGAGTAAAACTGAATGGTTTGAGTGCATACATTTGATTTGCAGATTAAACCTGCTCTGACACTATTTGTAGCGATCCTTTTGGTCATGAATGGTTTGTTCTTGATAAGCGACTTTCTGCATCGTTTTCTTGTCGTGTGTAACAGGATAGTTGTATCAGTTTTCGTTGAACCAAGAGAGTGGGAAAAGTAAACTTCTTTAGTACATGATAATCGGGTGTCGTTCATTTTCGATTGCGTCAAAGGTTCAGGAGAGGTGAGCAATAAACTGTTCTTCTCTAAACCTCATGGACATCCAGAGATGGTACCTGCAGAAGAGAAAGAGTTTGATGGCAGATGCTGTTTTGCTCCTCAGAGTATTCCATTGACTTGCAAGGGTGCAAGTACATGCTGCTATTCTATAGAAAGTGAAGAGGAGTACAAGTATGGCAGACAAAAAAAAAGTTATCTCTACAGTATTTGGTATCAGCCCAAAGGAGTAAGATTTCCTCAGAAAGTTACTTTTTGCAGAATTATGTTTTTCTTTAATAAGAACAAAAAAAAAACACTTCGCCGTTTTCCTCCTCTTCAAACTGCAGGTGGTAAAATCCAGAAGGGCGAAAAGCATGAATCACTCAGGTTTGTGCATGGCCATGGCCTGTCCACCATCACAGTCCCTTCATCCATGTCAGCAGTGCACAGATCGCTGCCTTCAACATAGTATATGCAGTTTCCAACATAGTATATGCAGTTTCCCTTTAGTCCCAGATTGCTCGCCGAACACGATACTGAACAGTGTCCGCCAACGAAAAAACTCGATCGCCAATATCACTCACTGGCTCCCATGCTTTCTTCTCAAACTCCATCTTGTAAATACCAATGCCAGCTTCTGTTCGGCTCCCCCAGCAACAGATTCCTCACGACGAGAAAAATATCTCCGCAGGATTCAACCATGGAATGCACACACGCACATATTCCAGGCAAAAGTTCGGGCCTCTCTGCTTCGACGAAAGAGGTTTCAGGGCATGGAGCAGTATGTATGAGAACAAGGTTCTCGCGGAGTGTGACCCCGTAAAATTTTCCATTTAACCCGATCACATTGTTAAGAGCATCCTGCTCTGTCCGAGATCATTATTGCAGTCGTGAGAGCTCCAGCTTTGTTCAGATCCTGCTCAGTTTGGATTTCTTTTGCAATACGAACGCATGAAACTGTTTTCCAAAGGAAACAAAATACCAACGAGAAATCGGTCGAATTTCTCTCATGAAACTGTTAAAATTACAGAGGAGCATTACAATTTAATAATTTATGGTTGTTGTTACACAATAAGATGTTTGCAAGTAAGTAAGTAGTAAGTCAATACTTGAGGCAGATTTTAATAAATTTCCTAGATTATCACTAATTTCCCAACTACTACAATTAATTCTCGTAGAAATCATGATCGAGAGAGAGAAACATATCAGATACCATACACGACGGCTAATGCAATTTACAAACCGATACCTGTTGCAAGATTGAGCCGGAGCTAGTTTTCTAATTGTGATTTCTCAATGTTGTTGTGATTTCTAATAGAATCCTGATTGTATTAATTAGAAAGGCTGCGGGGTTTTTAAAAGTCTTGGACCATGATTTTGACTACAATTTGGGATTTCTAGCTAATAGAATCAGGATTAGCTAGGGAGTCTCCATAATTTTTCTTTTATTAGAACCGGAGGAAAGTTCCAATTAGAATCCTGATCGTATTAGAAGTTGGATTAGTTCTCTCTCTCTATATATATATATCGACCCGTAGCTAGTCAAAGAGAGAGAGAGAGAGAGAGAGGGAACTAGTTTTCTTGAGCTTCTGATCGATAATCGATTTTCAAAACTCTGACAGGTATGAAGACCTCGAGCATCGGAAAGCCTTTGACGTCCGGCCTCTCACTCGAGCATGGCCGCCCGTTCGAGTACCCGTCGGGTTCGAGCCGCCCCGTGCTCCGCAACGGGAGGTTCTACCGCCTGGCCAGCGACGGAAGCCTCGCGACGTTCGACCCCTCCCGGGGCGAGTGGCGTGTCCTCGACAGGCCGAGCCCCGTGCACGACGGCGGCGACGTCCTGCGCTGCTCCCTCGTTGAGCGTAACGGGAGACTCATGTCGGTTTTCGTGGAACGGGAGAGCCAGTACGTCAGCGTGTTCAGGCTCGACGAGGAGGAGAGCGAGTGGGAGGAGGTGACCTCGTTGGGCGGCGGCGGCCAGGCGCTGATCGTGGGCTACCCAGAGATTCTACTTCGCTCCTCAATCTAAATCCCTATTATAAGGGGTGGAAAACTCAGAAAACCTCAGATTTTTAGCCTTTCACGTTCGTTTTTTTGTTTCCGTTCATTTTTTTTACCGCTTTGGTTCGCTCGGATGGAAGAGGGGAAACTCTGCTGAAATAGCCGTCAACTAAGATTTTTTTTCCCTCTTCGATTTCCTTCTCCAACCGAGTGAAATTGATAAAAACTCTGCCACGTCAGATTTTTTTTCCTTCTCTGCTTTGTTTACAAAAGTTTTCCTTTTTTTTTTCTATGCGAACCAAACATAAGAAAAATAAATACATTGGTTTCCCACCATTTTCTATGTGCGAACCAAAACAAAACAATCTATTTCTTGAAAAAGTTTGGAAAACTCAAAACTTGTGTTTCTTTACATGGAATTGCATTTCTCTATATCAAGGAAACCAACCAAACAGCCCTCAAAAGAAAAAAAAATCACAACAATCTACTACATAATTAATTAATGGTTGTGATTACGTAGCGTAGCGGTTCCCCCATTATTTTATTCGGTTTATTGGTTAAGCTACGACTGCTCTTAATGGCCTATTTGTTTTGGTCAATGAATGCAATTGAACTTTTTCCCTCTGTATAATTATTGAAATATTTGTGGGAAAGACAGTTGCCCTAGAAGTGCATTCGAATAAAGTTTGCAGGATCCCGGACATACACTTTATTTTTGAGAGAACTCAGAGGTGCATCTGCACATAGCTCTTTGTTATATTCTAAAACTAGGTCATCTTGAAGAAATTATAATCAAATTTGATGTAAATAGATGACCATTTTAGAGGATTAAAATTGCGAACAATTCCCTTGTGTGTTCTCCGGCCTATTTCTAGCTCGCAATCCAATAAGGCTTGATAGCACTTAAAAGTACCATATAGTTCCCTCTACTTTGCACTTGTATACCCTCAATTGTTTTTAGCGGCACTTTATACCTTAAAGTTTTTAAAATTTACAATTTAATACCCTCAATTATGTGGGAATGAGAATTTCCCCAAATTTTTCATACGCCCATCACATGCCAATTTTAGAACACATTTTAGCTCTTAGAAATCGTTAAATTCACCATTAAACCTATCGAAATTCCATTTAACTTTAGAATTAGAGTAGGTTTAAAATGAATTAACGCTAGCTAGCTTCAACAGTAAATTTAGCAAAAAATAAGGCTTAAAAGCTTCTATAATTAGTATGTGGGTTCGAATAAGAAATTCCAGAGAGAATTTCTAGGAGGGTATTTAAGTGCAAATTGTAAAACGCTTTACGGCATATAAGTGCTACCTGGAGCAAAAGTAAAGCTACAAAAGTGCATACTATTGGAATTTAAGTGCAATTAAGCCTAGAAAACGATCATCGGATTAGACCAGCCCAATATGGCCCATTAGAGCTACAGAGCCCAAAAATCTAGCCTGCACCCTACGAAAAATTAACCTTGGAGTTTAATTTACTCTGCTAAAACTAAAATTTAAAAAGGGTTTAGTGAAAATCAACCCCCAACTCAATTTTGACACGGGGTTTAAAGAGGCGGTTTGAGTCTAGAAACGAGGGGGGGGGATAGAAAATCAAAATTCTGGATTAAAAATATGAACACCGGTGAGATAAACCCTAATCCCTATCAATGTCCTTTTTCTTAAATTAAAAGTTCAAATTTCTTTAACTCATACAATTTGATTATAACTTAAAAGCTTTGTAGTCCACGCAAGGATTTCTAATTTGACAAGTATCTGATGATCGTAGACATTTAAGACGCTACGTAAAGTAATTGAGAATTCTTAATTGATTACAATTACCCAATTCTTAATTTAATAGGAATCGTGATTGTATTGCCAGTTGGGTCTAAATAGTTTTCAAACCCCAATGGGGTTTCTCGAGTTCGAGCATACATTTACTCGAATTAAATTAAAAAACAAATCATAAAATTATGCATCTAATTAATAATAATAATGGCACCAGCCCAACATGCATTTATTCGGCCCATGGGTTGATTGAAACCCAAAAAACTGTGATATTTTTAGGTTTATAAAAAAAAATGTTTACGGGACCTATCAGAAGCTACTCAAGGGATTTCCACATTGCCCCCTTGCATGCTTAATATATGTACAACAAATAGATGCAAAATGCTAGACATCAAGAAATAGACTACCTAAGTCTTTATCTCAGTCCAGTGAATCGATCTTTAGGCAGAATTTTTTTTTATAAAAACAGTGGATATTTTGAACTTTGTCCCTCGAAATCTTTGGAAATTTTATTTAATTTCCCAAATATTACTATTTACTTCAGATCGGTCGTCGTAATTGTCTACATTGTCATGATTATTCAGCCATACCACTCTGTTTAAGTTACCGAATAATCCGACCGATTTTTTAATGAAGACTAACCGGGAGTAGATGATGTAGTCAAACCACGCAGGGGAAAAACAACCGATCAAACATGGGTTAAAAACATTAGGCAAAATAACAGGTTAGGGGCTAATGTAGAATTAGAAATAGATTGAGGGACTAAATAGCAATATAATGTTAAATAGACTAAATTCATCAATCATCAAAATATAAAAGGTCGAGGAACCAAATAATGAGAAAAAAGTGTTCCCAATCGATCTACCCAAAATTAAAATCGGCGAAAAAGGCAAAGGTGAAAAAAGGCTGTATTCACCTTTGGGCAATTAATGACCCCTCAGAGCATCTCCAAGAGCCTCCTTATCTCATGTCCTTGAGTAAATTTAGGGAGTATGAGGGGAAAAAATGACTCCAACAAGCTCCCTATAATGAAGACTACATATAGGGCTTATGATTTGGTATTCCAAATAAAAAATAAGAAATGACTCTCTATATTTACTCTCAACATAAGGAGCATTGTTGGAGCAATCCTCCCCTCCCCCTCTCCTACTTCTTATATTTAGTCTAGAATATGAGATATGAAGCCATTTGAGGAGGAGCATTGTTAGAGCACTTGCTCATTATTTGGCTCCCTATTTCCTAAGATGAGAGAATTGCTCCTCAAATATAGGAAAAACCTAAGATCATTGTTGGAGATGCTCTCACGCGGTTGTGAAGTGACCTCTTCACCAACAGCTGTGGCAAGGCGTGGGCCCCACATTTTGCCAACAATAGTAGACTTCCCACCTGGGCCCCACTTCCATGGAGGGGGGAACAAAAAACAAAAAAAAAGTATCAATCAAAGATCAAATCTTTAGAGCAGCTGAAACCAGGCTGCATTTCTCCAAAATGCAGTCCCGTTGGCATCCAACCGAACTCCAAATTTTGGAGCTTGGCTGCAAAAATTCCCACTCGGCTTCATATTTGGAGTTTTTGCTCCAAATATGCAGACCCCATCTATTTCACTATTCCCCCTAAAAAATAACAATATTATCCTTCTAACTAATTATTTTTGGATATTTAACTTAAAATCAACATAAGTTTATTTCTACTAATTATTTTTAAATAAAAGTTTTACAGTTGGAAATGTTTTGTCGATACCTTCAAAACGAGACTAATATTGAATAATATTAATTGAAATATAAAATTTCAATAACCAAGTAAATACAAATGAAAAAGTCATTATTTCATTAGTAAAAAAAGTTACATCGCTTCATTTCCATGTCTTTCCCACAAATGTTCAATCGGTGCATTTCGAAGTGAATATAGTTATGTAGGAAGTCAACACGGAATACCTGACTACAGAAGCGTGGATATGGAGGAAATGGTCTGCCCGATTTTTAGTTTTTTTTTCATGTACTTTATTTTTCTATGTAATGCCGCTGAATGTAATACATAAAATTTCATCATTCGGAGTAGCTGTGAATGTTATTCCAAATATTATGCTATATTTTTTTGTTTTTTAAAATTTAAAAGCTTTTATCTATGTCTTTTTATCAATTTATTAAAGATAATTAATTTTATTTAAATAATGGGTATATTATATATTATACTTTTAGTATTAATTTATAATATATTTTATATTTTAAATTAATTCATATAATTTTTTAACATTTTATATTTTTATATTTTTAAATTTTTTGAAAATACTATAAAAGAATCAATTGAAAATACAAATAGAGCTACATATAGAGGGGGTGGTTGGAGTGCCCCATTTTTGAAAAAGCATATGTCCAATAAGAGCTTTGCTACAGGGACCCAAAATATGGGACCAATAGAGGAGACAAGTGAAGTGTCCCTTTCCTATTGGATAATGAGTTGACCATCATTAATGATGACCAACTCATTATCCAGTAGGAGTGAGACACCTCACTTGTCCCCCCTATTGGTCTCATATTTTGGGTCCTTAAAGAGTTTTTCGTCCAATAATACATTGGAGTTGCTCTTATTAGGGTTTCCCGACACAACCCCCCTCCACACCCCCTCGCGTGATCTGTCACTGTTGAAATTTATTTTTATTTTAAAAATTATTTAACCATCAGTTATTATTATTAGAATTCTCGGGATGAT